GTTTATGATCGGTAAAAACTTTGAAATCCATTGCTTCAAGCATATGTCTAAAATGTTTAATTGACATGTAAATCGCATACAGTTCTTTATCGAATACACTATAATTGATTTGTGATTTTGAAAGTTTTTTAGAGAAATAAGCTAATGGTTGCCTAACATTATTTATAGTTTGTTCTAATACACCACCTATGCATGAATTGCTGGCATCAGTGGTTAACGATAGTTCGGCACCTTCTTGTGGATGTACGAGTAAAGAGGCTTTAATAAGCGCGTCTTTGGCTTCATTAAAACTTCTTTCGTATTCCTCAGGCCAATTTTCTATATTTTTGAATTTATTTTTATTAAGATAAGCAACAAATTCATGCAATGGGCAAATAATTTGAGCAAATTTAGGAACAAATTTATGGTAAAAATTTATCATACCTATAAATCGTTGCAATTGTTTAAGAGTAGCTGGTTTTTTATAATCTTTTATTGCTTTAACTTTTTCCTCTGTAGGTAACATTCCTTTAGCAGAGATATTGTAACCCAAAAAATTAATTTCTTTGACGCCAAACATGCATTTTGAAGGATTGACATTTACGCCAAAAGAATCTAACCTATTAAACAGAATGTCCAGCTGTTTCAAATGATCTTCTTCGTTTTTACTAAATATCAAAATGTCGTCTAAATAAACGTAAATAAAATCAAGACCTCTAGTTACTTCATTGATAAATCTCTGAAACGTATTTCCTGCGTTTCTTAATCCAAAAGGCATTCTTAAAAATTCAAAAGCTCCAAATGGAGTAGTAATGGCGGTCTTAAAAATGTCTTCTTTTGCGACAGGAATTTGATGATATGCTCTCACTAAATCTATTTTAGAAAAAATGGTGCATCCATGGATTTTAATGTTAACATCGGATATTAACGATAATGGGTATCTTTCAGGGATTGTTAATTTGTTTAAGAAACGATAATCGCCACAAGGACGCCAATCGGCTGTATCTTTCTTAGGCACCATGTGTAACGGTGATGTCACACATGACGAAGAAGGACGGCATATACCTAATTCTATCATATTATCAAATTCTTTTTTGGCAATATTAAATTTTTGTGTATCTAGACGTCTTGGTCTACAGTAAGGTAAATGTCCATCTGTAATAATATGATGTTCTATGTTATGTTTAATTGGTAAATGAAAATTAGGTGATGAAAATATATTAGTGTATTTTTTAAAAATTTCCGTATATTTATTTTCAACTATAAAAAGTTTGGGAAAATCTACTTTGTCTATATTCATAATTTTACCTTTTGAGCTTAGTGAAGTTTCGTTATCTAAAATTCTCTTATTTTTTAAATCAACTAGCAATCCAAAATGTGTTAGAAAATCAGCACCTAATATTGGTTTGCAAATATCAGCAATAATAAAAACGAAAAGAAATTCTCTACGTAAACCTAAATCTATTTTTAATAGTTTTTTCCCAAAAGTAGAAATTTTATTGCCTGATGCTGACGTTAATAAAAAATTGTTATCTTTATCATTACCTTTGAAAATATTTTTTGGTAAAACACTGACTTCTGCTCCACTATCAATTAAAAAATTTAAATTATTGATTTTGTCAAAAACAAAAAGTCTTTTTGAAGATATGTTTCCTTCTCCCAAACAGTTCATAGTTGATCTTATTCGTTTTTTGATTTATTTTTAAATGAATCATATAATAAACAAGGTGGGCCATTACATTTAAATGCTTTCAATTTAAAACGTTTATGATATGAGCATAATAATTTGTCAGAATCGTTATTATATCTGTTCCTACTTTTTGATCTGTGACGACAAGAATGACACTGATTATCATTTCGTCTGTGAGAAGACAGGTTTTCTTGCTTAATTGAGCTTACCTCGTTTTCTAATTTAATTTGTTTGTCAAGGATTGTTTTTAATAAAGTTTGACAAGAATTGTTGAAATCTGTCATAAATTTAACTAAAAATGTATTGTCAGTTTGTGTACTTGGACCTTGAATTTCGTTTATATTCATTTTTGAATTTTGAGATTCCCAAATTTTATCTGAAAGTTTCAATAATTCAGTCACGTCGTCTTTCCCAGATGCTGTTAAAGCTATATCAATAACTGCAGGTAAACGTCTCCGCCATAATTTAATTAGTAATTTCTCATCAATAATTTTGTCTCCAGAGATTTGTAATAATTCTCTAAAGAAATTTGATGGACGTTTATCTCCTAGTTCTGATCTAGAAATTAACTTATCTAAACGAGCCTCTTCTGATAAAGTCAATCGGTTAATTATTATTCCTTTTAGGGATTCATACATGTTTGAATTTGGTGGATTATTAATTACATCTATAACTTCACTAAAAATATCTATCGGTAAGTTTGCTACAGTGAGATGATATTTACTTTTATCTGAATTAATTTTATGAATAAAAAATTGGCTTTCAATTTGTTTGAACCATAATTCAGGTTTTGATGACCAGAAAGGAGGTAATTTAATGTGATTTAAATTTTCGACACAACCAGTCTCTGACTCTGTTTCGTTATTCGGCATTTTATTGTCAAACACAAATGGCAACTTCAAAACATTAAGTAGTAACTCAAAACTCACCTCTTGCAATATTTCGCCCTTGACCTGCGGTATAGCAGGCAAAAAAAACAAAAACCTTGAAGTATATCTCGTAGAGATGTTGCTGATGTGGTTGTTCTATCTGATTTTCTGACTTGATCACCTGGACCTGATGAGATTCTTATTTCTATCTTCTACGCCGAAATCCGATGGGTATCTTGTACTGTTGCTCGTACCGTTTCTCGTACCGTTGCTCGTACAATTCCTCGTACTGTTTCTCGTTCCGTTGCTCGTACAATTATGTGTTCTGATCGAGGGGTCACCAATATTATATAGGTATTCTCTGTATCAAAATAACTATATAATTAAAATTTCTTTTTTAAAATTCTTTTATTAAAAAGGTCAAGAACATGTTACTTCGAAAAAATGTAAAAATCAAAAAATAATAATTTGTTGATGTTTCTTGTCTCTTGGTGTTCTGCTCTTTCTTTTTTCTTTCCACAGCTATCTACCACACACTCCATTGTTTTTCCACCTACTACACCACAAATCAAAAACAGATGTGACTTCCAATGTCATCAACTTTGAAGTTCTATGACATTGGCAGGAAACAGGATTGAGTCTCATGCCACCACGAAACATTCTAAAGTGCCATTCACATAACAAAAATAAAACGTCGAAATGACAAAGTGGAGATGACTAGTTTAAGGTTATAACATTTATCTATCAACGTAATTATGACAGAGAGAAGAGTAATATGTAGTACGAAGCACTACATAATAGTCACTGTACTTTTTGTATTCATGCCTCAAATTTGATTTTTATATTAATTTAGTTCAGATTGTTACTTTTACTCTTTTTTATTTGTTCTAGTACAAACTTCCTTCAAGCCGTTTGGAATGACAATATTGTATTGTGGAAGACAAAATAGCCTAGTTTGGGAAGTAATGGTTGGTATACCTTTTTTTTTATTTGTGCCTCACTTTCTGTGCTCCCTAACAGATTTGAAGGGTTCAGGGAAAAAAGGGGCCAAGTCACAATTACCAAATATTTTGAAGTAAAAACGAATAATTTTTAGAAAAATCAGCAACAACAAATACTTGTCCAACTTTAAGATGAGTTTTGTAAGTTGAAACTACTCACTCTGTTGTTTAGCTACGAAGTCATGCTGAACCAATTTTGTAATAGTCCAGGATCCGTAAGTAGGGTCGACCTTCACCCATCTGTTTAATGGAAAAAACTTATTTTTTAATAAATAAAATATGTTTTTAAATATACTGCAAATGGGTTGCCTAAGAAAATACGGTCACGCCCATTTTTTACTTTCCTTTCTGTGTACCGATAAGAAAAGTATAAAAATCATGATAAAAGTTGTTTATGATGTCATTATCTATTATTTTGTTGCTATACATGATTTTCCTAAAATGGACCTAATTCGAGATATTTGAGGAAAAGTGCAAATTTCGAATTTTAAAGACAACTCAAAAACGGACCAAGAGAAAAACACCAAATTTTAAATTTAAGCTTTAATCCATTCTGCGGTGAGCTGATTTAAAGTTTGGGCATAGTTAAAGCATCTGGGGAATACTTTACAGGGTGTCGTTTTTTTTACTTTAAGAAAAAAATTACTCTGGACCGTATTTTCTTAGGCAACCCATTTTCGGTATATTTATAAATTGATTTTATGTAATAAAAAGAAACTTTTATCCATTAAACAGATGGGTGAAGGTCGACCTTACTTCGGATCTTAGACTATAACAGATTCTATTAAAACATCTACAAAATCGTCACTTGATTTAATAAATATCTCTAGTGAATATCGGTCTACCTGAGTCCGTAGTTTATATGCAACTTCATTAAAAAAATTATCACTGACAAGAGTTTCTATGTATTCCTTAATTTTGTTGAGCCAGGACATTTACTACATTTTCAAAAGTAGCAGTTATTCGATGATAGATGACAGTTAAACATTTTTATGCAATCCCGATATGAAGATAATAATTGACTTTCGTCTTCGAGCTTTAATTCCAAATAAAAGTTTAACATTTTTATGAATAAGGCAAACAAAATCTACATGAATACCAGAGGCACCAGCAAGACCACATTCGCGTAGTCTTAAACTCGTAAATTTGGAGAAACCTACTTTTTAAATGGGTATTTCTAATATTATTATTTTTTGCTTTTGCACTCGTTGACCATTTTCAATAACAGATTTGTATTCTTTTTTGCATGGTAATTCTCGACTGATATCTTGGTTTCTAAAAAACTCTTGGAATTTTCAGTAATACGTTACCTTTGTTTTCGCCAGAAATAAATAAAATACCATCTTGCTCTACTTTTTCTTTCACCTTTTTTACTATGTATGTTGATGCGCCACAAATATTTACAATTTTTTCTGTTGACCAACTTGATGGTAGTACAGATAATATTTGTAATTTTTCTTTTCATTTAATCGTATTATCATTTTTTGTTTTCAATTGCATTATCATTTCCTTTCCAGTCTTTTCTGGATTATCGTCAATGACTGAAGTTTTATAGCCTATGGTGCCCTAGCATGTTCGAAGCATGAGTGTAATTTAGATTTTATCTCACTATATTTTGGTTGGGCATACGTTTTTGATTAATATAAATCTTTTCTTTTAATTAAGGATAAACTAAACATTTTTACAATAGTATTAAGACGATCCAGATAAATTTCTTTTGGAGTAAAAGTTTCACTGTTTGAAAAACAAATTTCTGATGGAGAACTGGAAAAATGGATAGCTGCAATTTATGAGATAAATTAAAAGACAGTTTCCTGTGTCATTAGTGGAGTTTCTTCTTCTTGCTTTAATGCTCATAGATTCGATACTAAACTTTTAAATCGATTATACAATTCAAAATTAACTACTTTTAATGACTTAAGTATTTTAACAACATGAATTTTATACGGATCAGCACAAAATTTTTAATTAAAACTGTAATCTACCCATATCGTTTGTCGTGGCCATTGCAAATATAATTAACAACATTAAGAGAAATTCGATCTTCTTCGGAAAAAAACTTAACGGTCAATTAATTTTCCATCAAAGCATTCTTCATTTCAAAATAAGCCGACTGAACACTTATTTTTTCCATGACTAACCTTGTATCGAGACACAAAATTTAAAACATTGTAAGGTAAAGAATGTTCTTCACAACAGTACTCCACAATTATTGTCATTGTTTACTAGTAAATAATTAACTCGCTGTTCTTTAGAAGTATACTGTCATAGAGAAGAGAGACTGCTAGTCAAAGGACCCCGCATTAATCTTATGGAAATTGGGTTTCTGTCAAATTGTCTGAATTTTTGATATGTTGTTGATTTTGTCATCCTGAACAAAAGTCTTCATGGGCGGCACAAAGTGCTAAAATGAATATTTTGGCAGCTACGGAGCTGCCAAAGCTCCCCTGATCCGTTGCAAAACTATTCATTTTCAATACTATTTACAGATGTCAAAAGTATATTTTGATTATTCTTATATATAGGGTAATGTTTTTGAGGTCACTGGATTCAACCTTCATGTCAGATTGGACAAATTGACCTTTGACCGCTGTCAATTCACGGTCAACGAGGAATAAAAAAGTAATTATCCTCTTTTCACATTGAGAGTTTCGGTTTTTGAAGTCGTTGACAGTTGACAGCTGTCAACCGTTAATTTGACCAATCTGACATGAGAATTGAATTCAGCGACCTTAAAAACTCAAACTCTTAATGTGAAAAGAGGATATTTACTTTTATATTCCTCGTTGACCGTGAATTGACAGCTGTCACCGGTTAATTTGTCCATTCTGACATGAGAATTGAATTCAGCGACTTAAAAAATCCAAACTCTCAATGTGAAAAGAGTATATTTACATTTATATTCCTCGTTGACAGTCAATTGACAGCTTTCAACTGTCAATTTGTCCAATCTGACATGAGAATTGAATTCAGCGGCCTCAAAAACTCAAACTCTCAATGTGAAAAGAGGATATTTACTTTTATATTCCTCGTTGACAGTCAATTGACAGCTTTAAACTGTCAATTTGTCCAATCTGACATGAGAATTGAATTCAGCGACCTCAAAAACTCAAACTCTCAATGTGAAAAGAGGATATTTACTTTTATATTCCTCGTTGACAGTGAATTCACAGCTGTCAACGTTCAATTTGTCCAATCTGACATGAGGGTTGAATTCAGTGACCTCAAAAACATTACCCTATATATTAGAATAATTAAAATATGCTTTGGACATCTGTAAATAGTATTGAAAATGAATAGTTTTGCAACGGATCAGGGGAGCTTTGGCAGCTCCGTAGCTGCCAAAATATTCATTTTGGCACTTTGTGCCCATGGAGACTTTTGTTCAGGATGACAAAATCTACAACAAATCAAAAATTCAGACAATTTGACAGAAACCCAATTTCCATAAGATTATTGCGGGGTCCTTTTCCATGATAATTATCAAGTAGAGAAAACTTGAGGATTAGACACATAGATGGCAGAGTGTGCAACTTCTCGACCAATTTATTTTTCAAATTTACTACGAACAACAAAAAAGAAATTTCAATTGTGTACTTATTTTTACATTTTTATATCATCGATTTTACTGTTTTTCACTAAAAACATTGTGTTTAGATAACATAGTAGAACAACATTATGGACGTTTTATTGGAGGCAATCAACATCTTTTAAAATAAGTACAGAATTTCATCAAAATGGCCCAAGCGCTTCCTCGATCATTAAGCATAGAATTCTATATACATAAAGTTTTCTTAATTTTTAAATTCATTTGGGTAGATTGCCAAATTTATATATTGTTTATATTCTCTAAAATGATGATAAATCGTAAATAAATGTTCATCAAGCATAATAAAACTCGTATATCTCATTTTTAAAACAAATATTTTGAATCGACTATCGGTCCGTCTATTAGTAAATAGAGAAATTACGTTCGTTATTCAGTTTCAACAACCGTTCGATGGCTCTCGCTAGAAGGCGACAAAATTATCAAAGACATGACTTGGACGCAACGGAGCGTGCTGCCATATACTGATACTGTCCGTTGTCCTCCAAGATAAATTGCATTGGGATTGTTCTACTAGGTGATCTAAATCCAACGCTTAAAATAATAAATTTAAATGTTTACTTATCTTTATTTTATTTTGAGCTGGAATTTTTTTTTTCTTTAAGATTTTTAAGACGTATCGTGTAAAAAAATAAGCCAAAAATTTAATAGCGAGCTTCGATTTTTACGATTTTTGAGATTATAAAATTTTGTTAATTTTTAATTGTGCAAAAAATTTTCTCAGAATATTTTTTTTATAGTCCCAAGTATCCCCTTTAAAATGAACTTTAGCACATATCTGTAACTATAATAGTTTTAGAGATATTTAAAAACGATACTTTTTTTTTAATTTGAATCTTTTGACTGCGCCAAAAAAAAAACTTGAAAAACCTGAAAATGCTGAAATTTTGGATTTTGAATAACTTTTCGAAAAACTTTTTTAAATTTTTTTCCTTTTGCACAACTTCGTTTTATGATAAAAGCAAACTTCCTACCAAACTTCATCCAAATCCGAAGGGGTCGATTCCAACTATTGGTCGATTTGACATGGAATGACCCACCATTTTTCTTTGATACCATAGTTATTTATATTAAACTAATGATACAAAAGTCAGATTTAAATTTAATGCCAAAATCATATACCGGTTGTTTAAATTAAAGTGTTACAGTAAAATACTTTTTTTTTTATAAAACGAAAGTTTTATATTTTTTTGGGGTATACATTTTGGCTAAAATCTTTTTTATAGCTAACCATAATATGGCCAACTTTTTTTTCACGCAGCACAATTTTCAAGTACGTGTTACTCAATAAATAAAAGTCCAATAAAAAAAAATCCTTTAAAAGTTTCTTATTTTTTTATGAACTTTAAAAATATGTAAAAAAATGAGGTTCCCATTTAAAATAAAAAGTCCACCTCGATACGGTCATACTGTGGTCAGCTATAAAAAAAAATTAATTTTATCAAAATGTTTTCCCTAAAAAACAATAAAACTTTGGTCTGAAACTTTTTTTTTATAAAATTCATATTTTCAGCGGTATTTAACTTAACACTTTAATTTGAACACCCGGTAGAGTAACGTGTTTACTAAGTTTTACTTTTGTAACTGCTACTTTTCAATTCGCTTTTTATGGTTTATAACTGAAATATAGAATATAGTGAAAAATTACGAAAAAGACTAGAGAAGTTTACTCACCTCAATATCCCATAATTCCGAAAATACACTCGATGCCAAATTCACAATTTTATTTACACTTAAGTCAATCACTTTAAGTTTAGATAAACCGAAAAATGTCAAATTATTTATATCACAAATATAGTTCTCTGATAAATCCAATTCCAATGCATTCCCCAATGCAGCAAAAGCTTTGTCGTCAATTTTCGAAATATTATTATTATTCAATCGAACGTATTTGAGTTCGGGTACATTATAAAATACGGTCGTTGGTACGCTGCGTATCCGGTTTCCATTTAAATCGAGTTCTCTCAACGAAAGTAAATTGGAAATTGAAAGATCATCCAGGTGTTCAATTTGGTTTTTGGACAGTTTAAGTCGTTGCAGGGACGTAGAATTTCCAAATACGAACTTATCCAATTTTTCGAGTAAGGCAAACGATACCGTAAAATTCTTTAAAAATAACATCTTATGAAGAAACTCCGAAGGAATGCTTTTTAGTTGTCCCTGATTGCTTGCTATCATTGTGAAATCGGATAGGTATGGCTGCGTTTCAATTATTAACCTCCATATGAAGCTCTCCTTAGTCACTGGACCAAAAATCCAACATTCTGCAGACAGCACTTGATAGAATTTATCTTTCGTACAGAAACAACGAATGTTGTTTGAATCCGTTGGCTCTAAGGTGCACATATCTGTCGGTTTTATCGATTTGGGTTTTGATTTACTTCGTGAGCGAATTTCTTTAAATGAAGCCTCATTGAGACAGAGGATAGCGAGGAAGAGAGCCAATCGCATCTTTGCTGTAGGAACACCTGTAACAAAATAATTTAACATTAGCATTGCATTGTATTTGAAACTTTTATTTACATGTTTAAAATCAAAAATATATACAACCTAAATATAAAATAAAAACACAATTCCCGGGGGTTTTGAGTTAGCGTTTGCAGTTTCCTGCAGAGCCTATGGTGATACTTTCACCTATTTTACACGATGTTGTTCCAAAATATTGATAAGGCTAAATATAGCAGCCTTCACTCCTCGCTAGTGAGGCATTATTAAGGGGTTATGGGATTTTTGTAGTCAGTAATTGTCATAGTTTAAAGCTTTGTCTTGAGTTAATTTGGTATTTGTCCCCTAAAAAAGCTAGGAGAAAAGAAGATTGTCAACAATGTACGTTGGTCTTTCGATAGTCTTGGTCACAGGACGACTAACCCGAAAAACCACCTGAAAGAGCCACAGTCGAGAACAAAATCGCCCTTGGCTGACTTACTTTACTTTAAAAATCTTTATTAAATATAATCTTTATACAATGTGCATATACAAAAACACATCCTAAGACATCCTGGGCGGCTATTGGCTGTTGTTCTGCCATTATGTTTCAGTCGATGCTTGCAATCTTGAAGTGTATGAGTCCGACTCCTTACCAGGTTGGTATTATTGGACTATTTTTATTGATTATGCTAAGAGCGGAGAGTGTTAAGAGTGACAGTTTTGTCTGAATTTAATTATGTCTGATTTCCCTAAAGAAGCTATTGAAAAAACAGGGTTTTAACGATGTGCGTTTGTATGTTGTAAATTGTGTAGAATGTATGCACTACTCACGTACTGGACATTGATTGACCACCCATCGAATCAAATGTAGCCAATGGCAGTCACCGATTAGACGCCCCGCTCACCACCGTTCAGTATTCGCCGACTTAGGTTAGTTACTCATGTCGTTTTGAGCAGTGCATTTTAATAACTTTATATGCAATGCTTGTCTGCGTTTGTTTGTTTTATTTTTGTATTTTTTAACTTCTATAGATGGAAAGTCCTTCGTGGAGCCAGGTATGCTTCCTAGTAGCATTTTATTGCTCCTAGAGACTCTGTTGTGCATGTCTCTCTTGCACCGTATAGTAATCAAAGTATGTGTAACAATGTCTAATATAATATAAAGTTAACGGAAAGAAGAAGAAATGTCAATGGGCTTTGTTGTTATAAATATAACAAACTTCCTAGGAAATTTAGGGTTAACGGATATTTTTATTGCATTATTTAAAAAATACAACAATCCTGAAAAGGACCCCGCACATTGATTTTGGGTACTGGCAGAATTTGTTCAAATTTTAATGTTATTTTTTAGGTCATTAAGGGCAACTTTCTTATGAACCTTAACTAGGTAGCTCTACAGGATGAGGTGTTAGAAGGATTCAAAAGTAAGGAGTACAGAATTAATATTTTGAAATATATCCCCACCAGTCTTTAGTAATTCTCATTTTTTCCATGAAACTTATGTCATGTGTTACACTTGTATATAGTTTATTTATGCTTACTTACACTTTGCAAAATATATTATACAGCGTGTTTAAAAAATTAGGAATATCAGTTACTGAAATATGGTGCATTTTACATGTATTGCCATAATTAGAATATGACTAAATATAATTTTTTAGTAGGTTAATTTTAGTCAAACTAATCATAAAAAAAACTTTTACAATTTTTCAGTAGTAATTCATTTAAAAACTTCGTGATGTGAATACTCATGATATTGTTACGCGGCACCCTGCAGTAGCCTGCGGCTAATATAGGAAACGTACAGATAGAAAAAAAGGAATGTTACTCATCGCCCTACAGTGTTGCGGTCGTCATAAGTAAAAGTACAAGTAAAAGAAGATAGAATATCCCAGAAATATCGAGAAACGTCATTATTTGTCAAGAAAATTCTAGGCATTTCGAGAAGGTTCGCGAAGGGTCAAACAAGCTATACACCCTGGCTCACGCTCAACGGGACGGAGCTTTATGGGAAAACGACCAAAGATAAAAAATTCGTTTGGGAGGAATACGTAGGTTACAGACGGCTACAATTTAAAATTTGTTAGAAGTATACAGGATGTCCCACATAAGAGAAAATATACAAAGTTATATTATTTTTAATGGAACACCCTGTTTTTTATTTTAGAATTAAAAACTACATCAAAAATAATGTCAGTTAACTAAAGGTTCCCTATTACTATTATTAATAGTTTTCGATTTATTTGAATTTTTAAGGAAAAAAAGTCTCCCAGAAATTAATTGTTTACTCTTATTTGAATAATTTTTAATGAACTAATTTTTTTTTCTTATGTGGGACATCCTGTATACATCTAACAAATTTTAAATTGTAGCCGTCTGTAACCTACGTATTCCTCATAAACGAATTTTTTATATCTTTGGTCGTTTTCCCATAAAGCTCCGTCCCGTTGAGCGGGATCCACCCTGTATAAGCCGATGATCCTGACGTCAGTTTTCAGTTTTATGATAGACGTTACATGTTAATGTTATCAGTTGTATAATTGTTGTTAAAGGTAAATTGAAATAAATTGCGATACCAAAAACCTGTGTAACATTGGTGGCAGGGGTGGGATACAAAGTAAAAGTTCATGGTAAATACTAGATCCTCTGAGTACGAAGCAGGCATGGATACTTCAGGCCCAGCAGCATGTTTTTTGAAGATGGAAGGCGAGAAGAGGAAAAGTAAAGGCGTAGGAAGGAAGGAGAGAAGGAAAAGGAAAGGCGTAGAAAGGAAGAAGAAAAGGAAAAGGAAAGGCGAGAAGAAGAGAAGGAAAGACGCAGAAGGAAGAAGAGGAGGAGAAGGAAAGACGCAGAAAAGAAGAAGAGGAGGAGAAGAATAGACGCAGGAAGGAAGAAGAGGAGGAGAAGAATAGACGCAGGAAGGAAGAAGAGGAGGAGAAGGAAAGACGCAGAAAGGAAGAAGAGGAAGAGAAGAAAAGACGCAGGAAGAACGAGGAAAAAGAGAAGGAAGAGAGGCATAAAAAATCTCAGGAAGAAATTATGAATGCTTTGCTAAAAATCCAGGAAACCTTTAAGCAAGAAATTGGTCAATTTAAAATTAGAGTGTATCTTTTAGAACAACAACAAGAGCATTTAAAAACTAATTTGGAACAGCAGCAAGAGCATTTAAAAACTAATTTAGAACAACAACGAGATAATTTAAAACAACAGGCTAGACTAGAGTTCGAAAGGCAAATTAGAACTGAACTAGTTGAGATAGAAAGAATTCGTAGCCTGGCTTCGATAAGCAACAGAGAAGCTGAAAACACCACCTCGTCTTCATCTGTAATCGAACCAAGCCATATTCAACACCCAATTTCACAAATCCATACTAGCAAGATTATTAGGCCACCCACGTTTGACCTGCAGACAACATGGGAAACGTATCGCCTCCAATGTGAAGCTGCAGCTAGAGCTAATGGCTGGGCTGAAACGGATATTGCGGCTGCATTGATAGTGTCGCTGCGAGGACAAGCAGCAACCGTGTTACAGTTACTTCCTCAAGAAGAACCCAGTTATTCATCTCTCGTCCAAGCTTTGGAGACAAGATATGGCCAGCAGTATTTGAAACGGGTATTTCAAATCCAGCTAAAATTCGTAGTCAGAAACATAATGAGAGTCTACAGGAATTCGGGGCCGACATAAGAAAATTAATTCGTCTGGCCTATCCACAGGCGTCCAAAGATTTCCAAGAACAAATCGGAATAGAGGCATTCATTGATGGATTACAAGATGCGGAAATGCAGCAAGCCCTACGTCTACAACATCACAAGACGCTGAGGGAGAAACTGATTGCAGCCCAGGAATATGAAGCGGTAAAACTGCTATCCAGATCTTCTCGCGCAAAAGTGAGGGAAATTAAATCCCAGGAAAGTAAGGAGGCCAATACTTATGCAATTCCCCAAAATCCTAAATATCCTACGAAATATGCAACGAAACAGCCAAAATGGAAGCAGGAGATGCTTCAATTGCAGAATAATCGGGAATCTTCAAAGAACATGTAGAAGCATAGCTCATTCTATAAAACGAGAATCAGCGAAAGAGACCGGAAAATCATATAGATCAATCTTTCCAAGTCCATCACTAAGACCAACAAGAATTAATTACTGCAGCTGTGCATCCCGAAGAAGCCAATTACCCATACCGAGCCGGCGTTCTAACAATAACCCAAAAGTAGAGCATCGAAAAGGTCTCCATAGCAACGCAGACATTCTCTTCGGGAAACCCCGTTGAGAGGAACAATGCTGGTATGGTAAAAGGCTCGAAGAACCGGTTGATAAAGTTACTCTTCGGGCAACTACTATCAAGCCAGAGGGCGACGAAGAAGAAATCACCCTTGAAAGTCTGAGACAGGGACAGAAGATTCCCTGTTTCTTCACGATGGCTTATTGCACCGGAAGTGGGAGAGTCCCGATGGGGTACATGTAGTCCGCCAAGTGATACTGCCAAGGTCACAGGTGAGAAATGTATTGGTTCTAAAAGAATACTGGCACGAGTTTGTAAAAGATTTTATTGGATCAATTGCCGACGGCATGTAGCGGATTGGTGTAAAAAATTTGATGTATGTAATGGCAGGACAAATGTCTATGGATTCGCTCGGGAACGACTGAAAGCCCACGCCGATAAAGCAGAAGATAGAACCGACAGGGGTGCCACAGATACACATTTGGAGAGAGGCGACAAGGTATGGCTGTGCAATCCCAAGCAACTAGAAGGACTTTGTCAGAAATCGCAATGAAACTGGGAAGGCCTATACTCCGTCCTTAAGGAAAATCAACGACCTGATCTGCCGCATTCAATTGTCAGCGGGAAGTAAACCCAAGATATTTCACGTTGAAAAATTAGCGCGATATCGTGGTCCAGAGCCTCCCTGTTGGCTCCAACCAGGTCCCAGTAATCAAATTATTCGGGGCAAATAACTAGAGAGGAGGTGGCAATGTTACGCAGCACCCTGCAGTAGCCTGCGGCTACAGGAAACGTACAGA